GGTTGGCTTGAGCCTGGGAAGCAGAGGCTGTAGTGAGCCAAGATCATGTCACTGCACTCCAGCCTGGGCAACAGAGCCAGACCCTGACTGAAAAAAAAAAAGCACAGCAAGAACATTGTAGGTTCGGGTGGGGCAGGACGGTTAGGAGAAAAGGGTCAGAGTCAGGGGTTTGCAGGAGGGTGGAAAGCGGTGGAGCCTGAAGGGTCCCAGTACTGAGGAAAAGAGTTGGAGAACCAGAGGTGTGAGCAGGAAAGATAGGAGGGGGTCAGAGAGCGCGGGGTTCAAAGCTGTCATTTGGGGGTAGGCATTGGGAATGACCATGTCTGGGGTGTTCCCTGGAAAGCAGGGAGCTGAGATGCTGGGCAGGTGGTTGTTGATCCCTCACCTTCTGTCTGCGTGTTTGTCTGTGGCTTGCTTTGATCATGTCCGTGTTGGCATGTGCAGCTCTAGGCAGAAATTTCGGCTGTTACAATATTCCTTTGTATGAACCTACCACAGTATGTTTACCTGCAAATAGACATTCCAGTTCTTAGGTTGTACCATATGAAATAGCTGGTATTGGACCTTTTTTTTTTTTTTTTTTTTTGAGATGGAATCTTGCTCTTGTTGCCCAGGCTGGAGTGCAGTGGTGCAATCTCGGCTCACTGCAACCTCCGCCCCCCGGGGTTTAAGGAATTGCCTCAGCCTCCCAAGTAGCTGGGATTACAGGCACCCGCCACCATCCCTGGCTAATTTTGTATTTTTAGTAGATGTGGTGGTCAGGCTAGTCTGGAACTCCTGACCTCAGGGGATCTGCCCACTTCGGCCTCCCAAAGTGCTAGGATTACAGGCCTAAGCCACTGTGCCCGGCTTGGACCATTTTTTAAATCTGCAAAATCATCAATTTCACATGGTTCAAACTAATATTTTCCTAGGTTTTGCTACCTTAAGCAGAGCTTCAGTGAACCAGCTTGTATGCGTATCGGTGTGCGAGGTGTGAGTGCCTCTGGAGCCTGTACCTAGGTGTGGGGCATCTGGGCCGCATGGTCCTCACAGCTGGACCAGGAAGGGGACTGACTTGCACTCCCACCAGCAGCACAAGGTTCCTCTGTCATGAATGCTTGGTGTTGCCCAACTGTTAAGTTGCTGCCAGTTGGATTGGCATGAAATTACTTAGCACATAGGTGACTGCAGTAACCTCCTGCCTGTCTGGCACAGAGACAGTGGTCCATAAATGCTGGTGCCTTAACTAATAGCAGGCTATAGATCCTTTAAACCATGTGGTTGGCGGTGATTAACTGAAAGGGATGTGTCTTTAAGTGAAATAGGTTACAAAGCAGAAGGTACAGTATGATTTCATGATATTTATAGTAGATGTGAAGTGCTCATATTTTGGTGGCAGGATTATGAACAATACTTCTAGTTTGCTTATCTGTGTTTTTTTAAAAAAATTCTACAATACACATTCAATGTCTTTGTAATTTTAAAAAATCCTGGTAAGTTACTTTTATGATTTAAAATGAGATGTAGAATTCCCTACGGGGCATGAGGCAATTTTAGCTTAATGTACCAAGCCTCCTTTCATATCTATAATTGATCAAAACCTTTTTTTTTTTTTTTTTTTCGAGGTGGAATCTTGCTCTGTCGCCCAGGCTGGAGTGCAGTGGCACAATCTTGGCTCACTGCAAGCTCCACCTCCCAGGTTCACGCCATTCTCCTGTCTCAGCCTTCCGAGTAGCTGGGACTACAGGCGCCCCCCCACCACGCCCGGCTAATTTCTTTTTGGATTTTTAGTAGAGACGGGGTTTCACCGTGTTAGCTAGGATGGTCGCAATCTCCTGACTTTGTGATCTGCCTGCCTCAGCCTCCCAAAGTGCTGGGATTACAGGCATGTGAGCCACCGTGCCCAGCCGATCAAAACGTTTTTAAATAAACAAATTAAACTGTTAAGGGGCAGGAAAAAATGTCAAAATTAGGGCATGCTTTCAGATTTTAGAAATTCCTAGTGATAACTATCAACTGTAGCAGCATCTGCTGATGGGGCACCCTTACTGATAACACTGATTGAAATTCCATGGATGGGCCAGGCGCAGTGGCTCACACCTGTAATCCTAGCACTTTGGGAGGCTGAGACGGACGGATCACCTGAGGTCAGTAGTTCAAGACCAGCCTGACCAACATGGTGAAACACTGTCTCTACTAAAAACACAAAAAATTAGCCGGGCATGGTGGTGGGTGCCTATAATCCCAACTACTTGGGAGGCTGAGGCAGGAGAATTGCTTGAACCCAGGAGGCAGAGGTTGCAGTGAGCTGAGATTGCGCCTTTGTATTCTAGCCTGGGCGACAAGAGCAAACTCTTGTCTCAAAAAAAAAAAAAAAAAAAAAAAAAAGAAAATAAGAAATTCCGTGGATAAAAAGATGTCATTGGGTTTTTAGTATTTGTGTGTGTATGTTGTGGGGAGCGAGGGAGATTCTTCTCTCACCCTCAGGCACATTTTCTGGAAACTCGTGCTTCCTAAATCTGAAACCATGGAACAGTCATTTTCGTTTTCAGTCTTGGCTGTGTATTGAAATCATCTGGGGAGCTTCTTAAAAAACACCGATGCCGGCCGGGCGTGGTGGCTCAAGCCTGTAATCCCAGCACTTTGGGAGGCCGAGACGGGTGGATCATGAGGTCAGGAGATTGAGACCATTCTGGCTAATACGGTGAAACCCCGTCTCTACTAAAAATACAAAAAACTAGCCGGGTGAGTTGGTGGGCGCCTGTAATCCCAGTTACTCGGGAGGCTGAGGCAGGAGAATGGTGTAAACCCAGGAGGCAGAGCTTGCAGTGAACTGAGATCCGGCCACTGCACTCCAGCCTGGGCGACAGAGCAAGACTCCGTCTCAAAACAAAACAAAACAAAACAAAACACCGATGCCTTAGTCCCAACCCCAGCAATTCTGGTTTTGTATACCTGGAGTGGGCTAGGTGTTGCATTGGTAATTAAAAGAGAAAAAGTATTTACTCCCCAACTGAATGTTGTCTGTAGTCGAAATAGAGAACCATTGCTATGGCACAAGGGTTTGCAAACTTTTTCTGTAAGGGGTCAGATAGTAAATGCTTTTTGTTGTTTTGTTTTCCTGTTTTGTTTTTGTTTTTGTTTTTGTTTTGAGACAGGGTCTTGCTGTGTTGCCCAGGCTAGAGTGCAGTGGTATGATCTCAGCTCACTGCAACCTCTACTTCCTGGGCTCAATCTATCCTCCCACCTCAGCCTGCTGAGTAACTGGGACTACAGGCATGCACCACCATGCCCAGCTAATTTTTTGTATTTTTTGTAGAGACAGGGTCTCATGTTGCCCAGGCTGGTCTTGAACTTCTGGACTCAAGCAATCCGTCTACCTCAGCCTCCCAAAGTGCTGGGATTTCAGGCTTGAGCCACTGTGCCCGGCCACATAGTAAATACTTTATGCGTTCAAGGCCATTGTAACCTGAAAGCAGCTGTAGACAATGAGTGAATGGATGTGCATGGCTGTGTTCCAGTAAAACTTTATTTACAAAAAAAGGTGGTGGACTGGATTTGGCCCAAGGTTATGGTTTCCTGATACCTGCCAAAATATTCATTTTCTATTTTATTTTAACAGTGGTAAAACCTGAGAAGAAAACTATGATTTTGCACTATATAATGGAAAAAAAAATGTAGGATTTGAAGTTCAGAGTCTGGAGTTCAAGTCCTGTTTCTAAATTGGCTATATAGCCGTAGCGACATCATTTAACCTCTCTGATCCTTATTTTATGCCTCTGTGCAATGAGTGTAGTAATAATGTGTACTTTATAGGGTGGTTGTGAAAACCAAATGGAATAAAGGATATGAAAGTGCTTGGTAAACTGAAAATGCTAAGCACACATTGCTCATTCTCACAAATTGCTTGTTGCTCAGCATCTTGTAGATTCATGTGTAATAAACATTAAATATTTAAGATAAAGCAAATTAGAAAATTTGAATATAAACATAGTATAAACATTAAGACTGAGAAAAATGAGTTATACATAATGCATTTCTATTTTCTTGAGCCAACAAAGTGACTTTGGAAGATGGTATAAATATTAATTTTTTCCAAAATAGAGTTTTCCAGAGAAAAATTGGTTTTCATCATGGTTGTGAAATGTTATAATCATTAACACTCTTGTGGGGAAGCCAAGGAAGGAGGAAGTATTGAGGGGTACAGGCAGGAGTTGAAAGAGCTGAAGCCTGAAGTGAAGCCATCACAGTGGGCAGCAAGCGCACGTCTGTGACCTGCAAGGAAGCATTTCAGTCGGGCTGGAACCAGCCTGGCGCAGGCAGTCAGAAGGGAGTGGGCAGGGAGGAAATGGAGGCATTAGGTGGAGACGGCTCTTTCTACAAGTTTGGCAGAAAAGAGAAAAAATAGGGTGTAGCTCGAAAAGGCCTCAGGGTGGCATAGACATTATCATAAAGCAGGGGAGGTTGATGCCTTTGTGTAGACAGCAACCCAAACCCGTGGAGCAGGATGGGGAGCAGGGGATGGGGTGAGGAAGATGGCCTGAGGGCAGACTAGGAGAGGAGTTAAGAAGGGTATGGGGAAGTGTCTGGGGATGAGGAAGGGAACCATATCCCTGGGCAGAGGCCAGGCAGGGTTGAGAAGCAGTGAGGAGGAGGTACTTGCAAAGCTTCGGAAGTCACTTCCTCCTGGGAGCATGCCCGGACCACCTCCTTTCCCTCCAAATCTGGATTAAATGACAGGACGTGTGCACCCATAGCCAGCTGTATGTGCAGTGATGAAACGGTCTGTTTACTTGATTGTGTTGTCTGCATCCCTGCTTGACTGGTGAGCTTCACTGAAGACAGGGCTGTGGCCTTTCTTGTGTATCCTACAAAACCTGGCACATACAGCGCATAATAGATCTTCATTAAGTATGGGTTAAATTGGATCCAGACTTGCTGTCTGGGGATCTGAAACCTTGAGAACTGTTTGTAAGTTATGTCTCTGGGTCTCTCTCTTTTAAACCCTGGTGTTGTAGGAAGAAATTCTGTACCTTCTAAAGGACTTCAACCCTCTTGATGTCCACAAAATCCAGAATGGCTGCAAATGGTAATGACTGTTCTTCCTTTGTTTTCTTTGGGAAGCAGCTCCTTTCCTCCCTGTTCATTTTGCTGATGCACTCACGTTGCAGACTAGCCCAGCAACCGCCACATCCACACCCACTCTGACTTGGCAAAGGAACATTTGGGAAACCCCCTTTCCATATTTAACCCTCTGACCCAGCAGCGAATACTGTCTTATCAACACAATCCTGGCTTAGAAGTCCAGAGACCTGGGTATATATTTGGTCATGCCCTTGCTGTGTTTTCTGACTTGAGATAAGTTGCTATACCACCCTCAGCCTTAGTTGTTCCTGAAAACCAGACCTACTTATATTTTCCCTTTCTTATTTTCAAGGCAGTAAAAAGTGGTTTAAATGTTTGTTTGTTTGAGACAAGGTCTCACTCTGTTGCTCAGGCTGGAGTGCTGTGGTACAGTCTTGGCTCACTGCAATTTCCGCCTCCCAGGCTCAAGCAGTCCTCCCACCTCAGCCTCCGAAGTAGCTGGGACTACAGGTGTACACCACCACATCTGGCTAATTAGTGTATTTTTTTGTAGAGATGGGGTTTTGTCATGTTGCCCAGGCTGGTCTGGAACTCCTGGACTCAAGTGATCCTCCTGTCTTGGCCTCCCAAAGTGCTGGGATTGTAGATGTGAGCCACCACACCTGGCTTGCTTTGAACTTTTGGGGCAGTAGTATTAATGAAACTCAAAGTCATAGACATATGCTGCATAGTGAAAGTCAGCTCATTTCTTCTGCTCCTTAGAGGCCCATGACAGTATCTCACAGTGGCACAGCCCCAAGTCTGGACATACTTGTAGCCTGCTTGTTCGTATTCTGTCACTGCAGAGAGAGAGGACACTGCCCTTCCAGCTCGGGCTTGGTGCCTCCCTGCAGCTCTGGGCTTCTCTGGAGATGTGCTCAAAGCCGCCCTCTCTCTCTTCCCTTTTCAGCTTTGCATTTGTAGATCTGGGCTCCATGCAGAAAGTGACACTTGCAATCCAGAAGCTGAATGGCAAACTCTTCCACAAGCGAAAACTGTTCGTGAATACAAGCAGAAGGCCCCCCAAGAGGACCCCTGATGTGATACAGCAGCCCCAGATGCCACTGGTATATCTTCTGGCCTTTCTGCTCTGGGGCGTTCCCTTTTCACCGTTTGGAGTGTGGCTGACTTTGCTTTCAGTGCTTTCATCCACCTCCAGTCCAGTCTGACTGTGGAGAAGCAGGCAGGGTCTTCGGTGAAATCAGGGAACTTTTATGGCCTTTAACAGTCAGAAGTAAGGTCAGATGCAGAAAACTTGGAATTTGTAAATTAAGGAGACTATATTTTTGGCAAGGATACAAAGGGTCATTAGGCTATTTAGTAAGGGCTTTTACAACGTGGAATATTGAAATTTAGGTTTTCCTTGTTAATGTAGCAGACATTGAGTGTCTACTGTTTGTACAGCCTTGTTCTGGCTGCTGGTGTGAAGTATAAGACAAGTCAATAAAATCCAGTTCTTCCTGGCAGGAAGATAAACATTGCCAAATATGAGGTATGAGGGGCAGTTAATGGTGGAGGCTGCCTCTGCAGGCGGAGAAGATAAGGTCCATAACTAACCCCTGGGAACTTCCCTCAAAAGGAGGAGGCCCGTTCTCGGTACACAGAGGTGAACCAGGAGAAAAAGATCCCATTCCAGAGCCTGAAGTGTTAGTGCTAGAAGCTGACTTGGCTGCACATATGAGGAAATCTGAACAATAGTGGCTTAAACAAGTTAGCGATTTGTTTTTCTTTCCTGTAGAAGTCAGGAGGTAGGGAGTCCAGGGTTGCTCTGGAGCCTCCATGGTGGTATCAGGGTTCTAGGCAGGAAGAAGGGGAGAAGCAGAGGGCAAAAGGGGCCTGTGTCCGCTTAAAAGGCTTTCCAGGAGCCCTGACGACAGTTCTGCTTGTGTTTCACTGGATATCCCTGTAACTCGTGGCCTTAAGTGCACAGATGCTGAGAGATGTAGTTTTGAAAGATAGACACATTGTTGCTAAACTTGGGGTTGGGTCAGCAAGGAAGCAGAGCATGCATATGGCTGGCAGTTAACAAGGTCAGCCACAGAGCTAGAGAGGTTGGAGGTGGAGGCCAAGAGATGGGTTGGAATTATTGACTACAATAAGATTTTCAGAGTTGGGCCGGGCACAATGGCTCATACCTGTAATCCCAACACTAGGAGACCGAGGCAGGAGGATGGCTTAAAATCAGGACTTTGAGACCAACCTGGCCAACATGGCAAGACCCCATCTCTATAAACAGGAAAAAAAAAAAAAAAGATTGTCAGAGGTGACTCCCTTTGCTAATTTCAAACTCTTTCTCTTCCCTTCTCTCTTACGCCCTCTTTGAAAGGGCAAACTGTCAGACTATACTGCTTAGGAACCTTCCTAGTAGCAGTTGTCTGCTCTTCTCTGTGTTATGCCCTTCACCGAAAACTTCCGCTTCTGGCTCATTATCTTTCTGTCTTATCATCATGCAGATTTAGCATCCACATGGATGATTTGTCTGAGTCCAGTCACTTACTTCCTGGACTGTTGTATCTTTTTTTTTTTTTTTTTTTGAGACGGAGTCTGGCTCTGTCACCCAGGCTGGAGTGCAGTGGCCGGATCTCAGCTCACTGCAAGCTCCACCTCCTGGGTTTACGCCGTTCTCCTGCCTCAGCCTCCCGAGTAGCTGGGATTACAGGTGCCCGCCACCGCGCCCGGCTGGGTTTTTTTCTATTTTTTAGTAGAGACGGGGTTTCACCGTATTAGCCAGGATGGCCTCGATCTCCTGACCTCGTGATCTGCCTGTCTCGGCCTCCCAAAGTGCTGGGATTACAGGCTTGAGCCACCGTGCCCGGCCGTATCTTTTTTTTTTTGAGACAGGGTCTCATTCTGTCACGCAGGCTGGAGTGCAGTGGAGTGATCTCAGCTCACTGCAACCTCTGCCTCCTAGGTTCAAGGGTTTCTCCCACCTCAGCTGGGACTACAGGTGTGAACCACCATGTCTGACTAATTTTTGTGTTTTTTGGTAGAGACAGGGTTTCACCACGTTGACCAGGCTGATCTCAAACTCCTTCCTGACCTCAAATGCTCTGCCCACCTCAGCCTCCCTAAGTGCTGGGATTACAGGCGTGAGCCACTGCACTCCACCTGGATTGTTGTATCTTTAATGATCTTTTCTTCCACTTGGTCACAGTTTCTCATTCCCGTAGCTCTATTTCAGACCTTGTCATCACTGTAACCATTTCAAGCATCCCACTCTGCACTGTCCCCTAGTCTTTGCAGCTCTCTTACTCTGAAAGAATGGTTCTCAAGCTTTAACAAGCATCAGAATCAACAAAAGAGTTTATGAACACAGCTTTCTGAGTCCTAGCCTCAGCGATTCTGACTCAGTACATGTAGGGTAGGGCCTGGGAATTTGCACAAGCTTCAGGTGGTGCTGATGCTCCTGGCTCTGGGACCACATTTTAGTAGCAAGGCTCTATAGCCTCAGTCCAACAGTTGATGCATTGGCACACATAGGCACCCAAAGTCCACTGACCCCACCGTTTTTTCATTATTCAATATTCTCTTTGTTCTCTCATTTTCCTCTTAGCCTAAATTCTATAGTCAATAACTACCTTAGTTCAAACATCTTTAACTCCATTGCCCTTTTCTCACTAGGTTATAGCTTGCAGAACACTAATCCTAGTTGAAGCCAGCCCTCTGCCTATTCTGAACCCACCATCTGAGCCCCTGAAGACATTCACACAACCTTGCTAACTGGTCTCAGTATGTGTGTATGGTCACAGGCTTTCCCACTGTTCCAAACTGACCTGTTTTGGAATTCTCTGATCTTTTCTCCTCCTATGTCCAATCTGCTCTTAAGCCCATCTAATGAATTTTCCATTTTAGATATTTTTCAACTTTCATTTGATTCTTTTTTTCCATTTATCTGCTGAACTTTTTCATCTTTTCACCTATTTTGTCTCTTTTTTTAAGATAATATTTTTATAGTAGTTATTATAAAATCGTTTTCTGCTAATTCCCACATTTGAGTCATTTGTGAATCTGCTTCTTTTTTTTTTTTTTTTTTTTGAGACGGAGTCTCGCTCTGTCGCCCAGGCTGGAGTGCAGTGGCCGGATCTCAGCTCACTGCAAGCTCCGCCTCCCAGGTTCACGCCATTCTCCTGCCTCAGCCTCCTGAGTAGCTGGGACCACAGGCGCCTGCCACCTCGCCCGGCTAGTTTTTTGTATTTTTAGTAGAGACGGGGTTTCACCATGTTAGCCGGGATGGTCTCGATCTCCTGACCTCGTGATCCGCCCGTCTCGGCCTCCCAAAGTGCTGGGATTACAGGCTTGAGCCACTCTGCTCTATTGACATTTATCCCTTGATTATGGGTCAAATTTTCAGGTCCTTTTACAAATAGTTTTTTGTTTTTTCCTGAGACAAGGTGTTGCTCTGTCACCCAGGCTGGAGTGCAGTGGCTCAATCACGGCTCACTGCAACCTCCACCTCTTGGGCTCAAGCCATCCTTCCGCCTCAGCTTCCCTAGTAGCTGGGACTACAGGCATGCACCAAGACCTTGCCTGGCTAATTTTTGTATTTTTTGTAGAAATGGGATTTCGTCATGTTGCCCAGGCTGGTCTCAAACGCCTGGGTTTAAGTGATCTGCCCACCTTGGCCTCTCAAAGTGCTGGGATTATAGCCATGAGCTGAGCCACTGCACCTAGCCTATAGTAATTTTTTATTGTATGTTGGACATTATGGATGCTATATTGTGGAGACATGTTATTGTCCTCTAAATGGTGTTGAAATTTTTCTAGCAAAGATTAAATTACTAGCAGATCTTTTATCTTATTAAGGGTTTTTGTGTGTGTGTCATAGTTAGGATTGGAATGTTTCATTGTGAGCCTTCTTCTTGGGTAACATCATTTTTCCTAAGGCTTGGCTTTTGTAGGGTCCCAGGTGAGTGCTCCGGGTGCTTGCCAAGGTCTGTCCCCCTTGCTGGGTTGGAACTCCATTGTCTCCAGCACTGTGAGACCTCCGGCATCTGTGTCCTCTCTCAGTGCCCTCTCCCCCACCTTCACAGCAGCTGTTCTCTTTAAGGCCTCCTGGTACTTGTCCTGCACCACGGACAGCTTAGGCCTCAACCAAGGACCTGAGGTAGACACTTAGATTCCTTGGATTTCTGTGTGGCTCCTTCCTCTTTGGTCCTCTGTCCCCAGATTCCTGTCACCCAAACTCTGTTGCTGCCCAGTGAGACAGCCACTTTCTGCTTAGGCTCTGTTTCCCTTTGCTGTGGTTTGGGAAAATGCCCCCAGGCAGAAGGCCAGGGTGAATGTGGCACTCACGTGCTTTCCTTTCCTCAGGAAACAGCCCTCTGCCATCTACTCTCATTAGTTCTATGCTGGAAACGGTGAGTTCCTGTATTTTGTCCAGTTTTAGAGTTGTTTGGGGTGAGAGTTAAGTTGTGTCATGCCGGAACCAGATACTGGAAAAGAGAATCATGGCTCTCACCTTTTTTTTTCTCTTGGGATAAAGATGATTTTCCAGTGTTCCCACTGCTTTTGAATCAGAAATAAGTACACAAAAGCTGAACACAAAATCTCCATACATGTGGACATTTAAAAACATTCCTATGTAAACAACACATGGGTCAAATAAGAAATTATAAAGAAACTTAAAAACACTTAGAATGGAATAATGAGGAAAATACTACCCCTGAAAAGTTTCGGGATATAGTGAAGGCAATATTTAGAGGTTCGTCCAACCTTAGAGGAGCAAAGAAGAAAGGTTGAATATTAATGAGCTAAGAGTTGATTGAAGAAGTAGGTAATTTTGAAATCCAAGTAGAAAGTAGACATTAATGACCGGACACGGTGGCTCACACCTGTATTCCCAGCACTTTGGAAGGCCAAGGTGGGCAGATCATCTGAGTCAGGAGTTCAAGAGCAGCCTGGCCAACATGGCAAAACCCCATCTCTACTAAAAAATACAAAAATTAGCCGGGCGTGGTGGTGAGTGCCTGTAATCGCAGCTACTTGGGAGACTGAGGCAGGGAGAATTGTTTGAACCCCGGAGGTGGAGGTTATAGTGAGCTGAGACTGCGCCACTGCACTCCAGCCT